TTAACATCTTAAGAATATATAAATATATTTAATATATTCAATATTTATTTTAATTGACATTTTATATATTTTTATAATATTAAAAAGACATAGAAGCCAAAAGTTAAACTATTGAAAAGTATTACCAAACGAAACCTTAGTTATTCCATGATATCATCAAATATGCAACCTACAAGTTTCATAATTCTGGTGGTCCATGTGGATTTAAGTTGTAGCTGAAAGGTACCTAATACCACCTTAGATACAGTTGAGAAAGCTCTTGAAAAGATAACTGATCAGTTGCAGTCCTACCTCAACTCTTGTGACCTCGGAAGGTAGTGCTTAAGACCTAAAAAGTTAAGCTGAAGAAACTTAGGTGATATATATCTGACGAACCTAAGCTATCTACTTAAACCCAAGACTTAATAACCAAGGAACAAGGTACATGTGGGCCTACAAAGGTGAGGACAAAACCGACGCAAGGGTGTGGGACATGTTGGTGAGGGTGGGCATTCGGGTGAGTAATCTAAGGGTTACCCGACAATCAAACCAAAAAAATTAATTTGGTTCAGTTTTAATGGTTTTCGGGTGTCACTATTTTGGTTTTGATATTAACTGAATAAATTTTGGTTTGATTTCGATTGAATCTTTCACAAATCAAAAACCAAAAATGTGCCTCTGAAAATCGATATTTGGATAAATATGACAAAATATGATAAAATATAAAATAAAATATAATCTATTATTGGGAAAAATTGATTAATATTTATTTAGTAAAAACCAAAATTGAACCGATTTTATCGATTAGCAAACCAATCAGTTTGTGAAAATTTCGATTCGATTTTGATTTTCAAAATTGAAGAAAATTTTTTTTTAGTTATTTTAAAATCGATTTCGATTTCAATTTCAACCTAAACCAGTTTTTGCCCACCTTTACATGTTGGTGTCAACTTCTGCAAAGAAACCGTTAACTCTCAATAGGTGGGCCTCCCTAACATCTCCAACGTGGAACCTATCTATTAGCCATTGGACTTGAACAGTTAGGTCTGATCATGACACATGTGCGACTTCGCAGGTTTCTATTTGCCACTTAAATGCCACATCTATATAAAGGGAGCCTATCCCAAGGTAGAGCCCAATTTTCAAACTTCTTTTTCTTTTCTTCTTCAACATCCTAAACTTTCTCATTGAAATCTAGATTGACTTGAGCATCATAGGGTGCATGTTGGAGAAACCTCTTGCGCTTGCCTTAACTAGGGTTGGGCATTTTTTAACCGAACCGATGGTTTACCTAAAAATTGAACCAAAAAAATGAATTTGGTCCGGTTTCAATGGTTTTTGGTTTTATTTTTTCGATTTTGGTATTAACCGAATATATTTCGGTTCGGTTTCAGTTGAATCTCTTAAAAACCAAAAACTAAAAATAAAACC